AAAAGAACGATAAAAAATGTTTTTTTTGCTTGCTAATTATTATTTCCCATGGCCCTCCTCAGCTTTGCTATCATCCTTTTCTTTTGAACCCACCCCAAAACAGCCACATATATATATATATATATATATATATATGCATCGTATGTACATTCTTCTAGCGTGGCCTTACTGGAATTTGCAACATTAACATGAACCTCCTAATTCCTAAACCAGATTTGAGCAAAATGTAACACGATATTGATGCTGGTGATGACATCAATCTAGACCTTTATACAAAGCCGGAGTTGCTTGCAAACATCCAAAAACTAAAAGGAAAAGAAAAAAAAAAAAAAAACACCCTCCCAGTAGTTCATAAAGGACCTATATAGCCGTTTCATTCCACTCGTTTTTGCAATGTTCCCTATTTAAATAGCGGAGACTAACGAAGAAGTCTTTGCAGGCAAACAGACTAAATATACCTTTAATTAACGTCCTTTCTAGTTTCCAACTCTAAGCACGTACGTAATATAAATTTGAATGTGATATATATATATATATATATATATATATATATATCGGATAGGACCTTCTTAAAGGCTCGTTGGGAAAAAAAAAACAAAAATTAAAATAATGTTTGAGACTTTTCAGTATCTTGTTAAGACTAATTGTATGTGTGTATATCTAAAGTTAAAAGAGTCTAAAGGCTGTAATACTATCTCTGGTTTTTGGAGCAGTCAACCTGAAACGGTGTATTACTAAAATCGCGTTGAAGCTGCCCAGTAATCGTTTCCTCTGCAATGTCAATTGCCAATAAGCCAGACTAACAGTGCCACATTCAATCCGTCTTAGAAGTAGAGGGAATCTTGTTCTTTTTTTTTTTTTCTTTCTTTCTTTTTTTCTTCCCAAGGGAGGGGCACAAGAAAAAAGATACAGTACGTATAGAAAGAACATAAGATAAATAAATGTAAGCAACTCTTTTTTATCTGATGATCAAACCAGACAACCAAGAGAATATAGGTCCTCGCTTTTCAAGCTTTGCTTCTTTTCTAATTTTTTTTTTTCCTTTTCTTCGATCTCCTTTTTTCATGATATTTTTATTATTGTTCCTTCCGCGACCTGTCTTCTTTTGTCCTTTGTTCAATCTTATCGCTGTTTGGTTCTTTGAATCAATACAAATAATGTAGATGAATTCTAGTGTTTTTCTATAAATGCTTCATCATTTATATACATTACCTCAGTCCTTAGCCCTTTCCAACCGGGGAAAAATAACCTACCAACTTTTTGAGGGTTTTTTTTTCTTTCTTTTTGGCGGTTGCAACTTTGATACGTTTGTATGATTGGCAAATGACTCAATATTAATTTACGCAATTCGCACAATTCAGTTGTATATAATACTGACTGGAGTAGTGCTGCGTCCCGAGTGCGATTGGAGATTCTAATTAAGAAAACCAGTAATTATAAGATTAATGCTAAAATCCGCAAAGAGTTAGTGCTATAGTCGGTAGATCCGTGTCTTTATTGTCCAGCTGATGATAATTCTTTTGCAGTACTTCAACAATTTCATTGTTTTCAATTAATTAATTAATTAATTATTGGCGTTCTTTTTGGCATGCCCTATCCTTAGCAACATACATTTGGGTTGCAAATGACGAATGTCATTTTGTAGACAAGATGATCAAATTAGGTCATCATCATCACTTCATAATTAATTGAATTTTCCATATCTATACAGTGACTCATTTTGGGAATTAAATGACAGGTTAGTAGTTAGGTTGATGCCTTTCCTGGTAATAGATCAGGGTTCGATTTCTACCAGGGGTTGTAAGGGGTTTTACCTACATTTAAATAGGGTCCACTGAGGTGGATTTTTTTTTTTAAAAGAAAAAATAGCGGCTCATTTTTTTTATGCATGATGCAGACAAAATATATAATAGAAGTTTCATGAAAAAATGCTATTATGAAATTTTTTAAAAAAGGGATTTTATTCGTATCAACAATGTTTATCGATGATTTCATTGGTACAAATGTATTCTTTTGGTAAACTTGTAAGTGAAGACATTAAGCGTTGATTGTATTCTTTATTACCCTATGAGAGACACATGAGGGTCTTCAGAACAAAAAAGAATAAAAAGAATAATTATGAGAAGGGAGAGGGGTGAATAGATGCCATTCTTTTTTTATATTCATTTATGGTGCTTCTAAGCAAAGCCAATCTTGCTGTAAAAAAAAAAATGTAAAAGAAATTATTCCAAAGTAGAACTACTCAATGACTAGCTAAAAGGGCCAATTGGATATGCTAGCTGCTGATAAGTCTTCTTATGACCTTTTCTTTTTGGGAGGTTTATATTATTTCTTTTATTTGTTTGTTTTTTTGGCTCAAGAAACTGAAACACGAACAAAAGGAAAGGAAAAAAGAGCAATCAAGAACAATAGAGTATCGACCAAGCGCCCCATGAACACATCTATATAGGCTAATCCTATGAAACCCACTATATAGGGTAATCAGTAGGTGTTAGTACTTGCGTACGTATTTCACGAACAGAACATGGCTAGATCATTTGTTTTAACTTCGACATTTGGTAGTTAGAGCGCATACGAAGGATATATCCAGAATTTTTTTTTTTAAAAAAAAAAATAATACTCCCTCCGTCCCATAATTATTGTCCAGTTTGAATTTGTATTTTTAGCTCAAATTGTACTAAAAGTGAAATCTCAAACTGGACAATAATTTTGGGACAGAAGGAGTATCATACATGATTGGCATCTCGTCTAATTAATAAGGTTCATTTATAAATAGAATTTTGCCTGCGGGTGAGACGAGGTGGGTTATTCAAAACTGATCTTCAGCTTGAGTTGCGCACATTGAATCGAAGCTTCACTTACTCACCTTAATATTCTTGAATGAGAGGAACGGAAAATGGAACTCAAGAACTAATTGAACACTTCAAGAAACAAAATTTAGGGCAAGTTAAGAAACCTTCTTTTCTTTTTTTCTTTTTTTTTTTTTGGAGTACCTGTATAATAGTATAAACCTTTTTAGAGCTACGAAACAAAATGCATATTTCTCGCTTTATAAAACGAAATGCAACCTGTATATATATTGAGTTGGATTGGATGTTTTCTCTGTGTGTGTGTGTATTTTTATTTTTTTCGAAACCTTATAGTTGTAGCTCTTCCTATTCATTTCTCTTTTTTTTTAAAAAAAATAATTCATTTCATCTTAATCTCGTCTTCCTTGATAAAAAAAGAAAAAACTTGTCTCTCTTTTTCCCCTCTTTTGTTGTTGCTTTCTTTTCTTTATTAGGTCCGTCTTATTTAAAATATTCAATTTATTATCCAGTTTTAGACATCCAACAAAATTTGAATAGTGGTATTAATGAGAATTTAAAATTTAATGGAGCATGTTCGGACTATCAAAAAAAAAAATTCAATTTATTGAATTAAACTGACAACAAATAGACCACTGTATTATGTTTCAAGGAAGGGATCATCATCCATTTTATGTTTACCGAATTTGTGTTTTATTTCAGTTTGCCCGTCATTTAGATCGCAGAAACCCTTATTATATGCATGATTCATAGAAATACGTAAATTAAATGTACGCAATGTAGATGAAGTTATTATACCAATGATCTATCTGACTGAACTCTAAGCTGGCAGAGGTAATGATGATTCGTTCATTACGTACACACAACAGAAAACAATTCCTGTCACTGTCCAAAATGATTTGAAGAATTTAGGAAAGAATGATATGATAATAACATCTATATATATATATATATATATATATATTTAGTAAAATAGGGTAGGCCATTGAAAATTTTCATAAAGGGCTTAGGTCACACCATAAAATTAGTTGGTAAAAACAGAGAATCAATGGACTATTGATTGGAGGTCTTATTAAATTGAATTAATTAACCTAGAAAAAGAAGAAGAAAAGTGGAGAAGATAGTTTTGCCTTCTTTTGTTAAGCTTCCAATGGATGTAGTTCAATGTGACCATTCGATGCAAAGCACAAAAATGCTTTGATGATTTCATGCCTTTCCTCCACACCTACATCCTTCCATTATTTTTCTTCTTCAAGAATATATGAATTTTATATGTGAAAAAAATATGTATAATTTTTTTTTTAAGAAAAAAAGGGGGTAAAAAATTATACTCAAAAAAGGAGGAAATATGGGCCATCCTCTGACTTCCACTACATATATTCCAAAGAAATAAACAAATCAAAAGTGAGATTTCCAATCAAACTCATTTCCCCACACTTATTCACTCCTCTTCTGGAATTCAATTATTCCATCTTCCCCCAATTCCCCTTTTTCTCCTTTATAAAAACTTATAAAAAGCAGCAAGTGCCAGCTCTTTGGATCACCAGAAATTGTACCCAGAAAAAAAAAAAAGCTCCTTTACCAATTTTCCTCACCTAGAAATACATATATATTATAATACATCTAAACAAAACAAATTCTGGCTCTAAACTACTGTACACTTTTTGAAGAAAAAATTGTTTCTAATTAGCTGAATAATCATTTGCTAAAACCAACCTTTAATCATAATCTTTTTGGATTATTACAAGACTATATATATATATATATAAATATATATATTGTCCTAGCTACAAATCAAACTAATTAAATGGTCCCTAAAAATATATTGTTTTCACCTAGTCCAAAGTTGCATCATTTTGCCTGCAGACGGGCCAGCAACCTGCCTCTGTCCTCCTCTAAAGGGTCGCATTATATCCCTTTCAATAATATTCAGCCACCAATTTTTTTTTTTTTTTTTTCAATTTTCTCCTTTTTCCTCTCTCTTTTTTTTCTTCTTCTTCATCTTTTTCGTCATCATCTTGAACCTGGAATTCAGTACAAAAGTACGAACAACAGCTACAAATTAATCTCCACTTCTTCATTGGACTAGCTATAGATGATGTGTCTTGGAAAATGCACAGATTAGTTTTTTCCAGGTTTAATTCCTTTGCTTGCTTGTTTCTTGTTTTTTTTTTTCCTTTTTTTTTTTTTTTTATCTGAAAGGTGCTCCGAAGGTTGTTGGGGTCCAAAAATCCACGGTTGTTTCCTGGGTGACTGGGAATGTACTTGACACCGGCACCAAACACAATCCTCTACTCCGCAGGTCTTGTTTAGGTCCATCTCCTTGATCTTTAGATTTGTCAGGATTCTGCTCAAGTTCGTTAACGATTCTCCATCAACAAACTATTGCAACTTACGAAATAAATGACCAATATGATCATATGTACATTGGATTATGTAATGATCTTATAAAGGAAATACTACCAAAATTTTAACTTCTAAGTGACAATGAAAGTAATAAGTAAACCAACAACAAACTGTCGGGATATTGTTCCGGTGAAAAAAACTATCTGGAGAATCCATATAAAGTTCCACTTGTAATTAAAATTTAGTCTTGTAGATTAATTTAGTGATGTCTATCGATCCCCGGAACTGTTGTCCAAACTAACCATTTTACTTATTCATTGCTTAGAATATAAGGTATTTGAAGTCCAAAACATGCACAATTCAACAAGTTTAAACTTAGTACAGCACGATTAAAAAAAAAAAAAAAAACACGAAAACATGTAACGCACCTGAAGGTGTGTCATGGGAGCTCCGCTTTTCATGTATGGAGTGCTTAGGACCTGATTTTTGTGAAAGAAAGAACATATCATCAGTTATGATTACCTGGGTTTTGAAGATCTTACAATTGAGGCATTGATCAAAGGTACAAAATTCAACTGTCGACAAATATTGTAACACTCTTGTACTTACACCAACTTGTTCATGCAAAAACTTGATGTACTCGATGGCTTCGGAGAGAACAGACGCTGTGTCAGTCTGAAACACAAAGACAAAGAGCAAAAATTAATCATAAGTTGAATTAGTAAGAACAATTTCATGTTTTTTATTATTTATTTTTCTTAAACAATGGACATACCATATCTTACTTAAACTCTGTAATTACAATTCTAGAAAATAAGCAATGTAAATATATGTGGATTTTCTGAAAGGAGTAGCTAGGAAAGAATCTTGGAGAAGTTTAAAAAATTACCTTTCCAAAAGGTGAAACTAATTGTTGGAGCGCAGTGATTCTGTCTCCCATCTTCTCTTTCCTCACCTGGAAATGTATAGAGGAAAACAAAAAAAGCTACATGCTCTTATCCATGGCCGAAAATATAAACATAGGTAAATAAAAATTGAATCTTTTTTCTTTTTTTTTCCAACGGACTAATTAATGAAGAAGCAATGCAAACCTTAAAAGCTGGCATGGGGGTTGGCGATTCATTTCGGGGTCTTTTATTGGATGTTTCATTGCTGCTACTCTTCTTTGCTACGGATACCTCCCGAACTTCAGATGTATTCTATGTTGAACCAAAAAATATGTACAAAAAATCAAGCCAATAAGGTGGCAGCTAAATTTAGTATACTAATGAGAAAGGATTGAGTTGGAGAACGTACGTACCTTGGATTTGTCTTCAAAATTTGGTAAAGGGATTTGGGAGTGAAGCGAAGGGAACAAGTTCGACCTGACATCGTTCATGGGAGCTGACGAGGAAGCATTCCAAAATGGGGTGTTATTGGAAAAGTGCAGCTGACCATGACCATGATGCTGAAGTGGTTGCGGATGCTTGGGGGGTGAATTTCGTAGAAATTGAGGAAGATTATTATTATGATTAGACCAAGAATTAGAAGGCGCCGCCATAAGTTGATGATGATGATGATCAACAACAGTAGAACTATTATTGATGCCACCATAATTAGATGAAGATGATGAGATTTGGTAAGCAGAATAATTCATGGCTGGATGCTGCTGCTGATGATGATCAGCAGGAGGAGGAACTGATAATAAACCTTGTAAGAGATGATGATTTGGAGAACTGTTGTTGGTACCACCACCAAATGCTGTAGTGGTAGCAGAAGAAGAAGCAGAAGAAGAAGAAGAAGAAGAATCAAGGTGATGATGAAAGGTGTTGGAAGAACCGAAGTGGGAATTGTCCAGAGAAATTCCTCCACCTCCTGCTGCTGCTGCTGCTCTACTGCTGATATTGTTGGTGGTGGAGGAATCCTCGGAATTATTTGGTGGTAATGAATATAGTAATTTATGCCTATTCCATTGTTGTTCTTGCTGCTGCTGCTGATGATGCTGTTGAAAATTCCCACTAGTTGCTTCTTCTTGAAGCATCGATCGAAAACTACTCTCTCCCTTATCCCCTCGGCTGCCCAGTAGTAACCCCCCAATCAATATTCACTAGAATCAACTAACACACACACACACACACACACACACTAAAAAGAAAAAAAATAAGAGCTTGATATTTTGTGCAAGTGTGTGTGTGTGTGTGTGTGTGTTTAATTCATTTCCATGCAAGAAGAGGAAAGCAAACAAGTTAAAAGACTTACAAGAGGGCAGGGTTCCAATCCATGGTTTGAGAAGAGAGGCTTAAATCCATGATTTGTAAACAAGTCCCGCCGGATTGGGCCAACAGTCCTCCGGCACCGGATTCGTGACCAGACACGCACACAGTGGAATCATCCACCATGGAAGACCTGGCGGCCACTACTACATCTGTTGGCCACCCAACGAAGGTGTTGTTGGTGGTGGTGGCGGATGAAGTTGACGGCGCCGCCGCCGTGGCCGTACTACTACTATTCCTCGTTGATGTTTCCCACCAGTTCCCGCTCCCCAGCTGAAACTCCTCCGCCATACTCTTTTTTTTACTTTTTTTACGATTATATCCCTCTGATGATATCCTTCTAGTTTCTCTTCAGCTTCAACTTGCCGTGGCAAATAATCAAATAAGGATATGGCCCTTCAACTTGCTGCTTTGATTTACTTGTTGGGAGGAAGAAGTAGGGTGCGCTGAAGAATGTTTATTTCTTGTCTTTTTATTTCTTTTTTTAAAAAAAAATGAAATTCGGTTCGCTGCATCTCAGTGTTTATATATATAGACAGGTAGTTTGATGATGATCAGCTAGCTGCGGCTGTGGGAGGAAAGAGAGAAGCCATTTTGAATTTTGTGTTTTTGAGTTGAAACCCAAAGACTCACCCTCCACACACATACATAGACAGAGGAATTTGGTTGACTTTTTTTTAATTTTTTTTTAATCTTATTTTTAGCGATGGGGGGCGGAAATAGGAATTGATTAGACTAATGAAAATTGAAAATGTCTTTCCCGAACTAAATTCCCCTGCTTACTGCAACAGCTTAGCCAACTAGGTAAAATATCTACCCACACTTTATATTACTGTTTCCTCTTTTCCGTTTTCATTTTTTTAAAAAATATATATATACTCACTACTTTTTCCGTCTCATTTTATTAATCTATTTTATACTCTTACCATAAAAAGTAGTATTGTGCATAATCTTTTCGTTTTTGACTTGTGCATTTAACTGTACATCATTTCTGCTTTGAAGGTTTAGATTTAAACTCTTTTTTTTTTTCAGGTTGCATATCATATACTATTAATCAATTATATTTGATAGTGAATATATTATTGAGGTTGCTGAATCATTTATTCTTTTTTTCCCCTCCTGCTACACTACTGGGAATATTGTAGTAAAAACTATAAAACATATATATATATATAATTACTTTTATAATTAATATTCGAAATCACTGCCTGACATAATCTATTTTTGAACTACCTTAGTATGTCTCTTTCGTGAGAAAAAACTTACATCTCTTGCATGTTACTGCAAGATTTCAAACTTGGCCATAATCAAACTATAATTCAGAATTTTTTTTTTTTTGTTTGAATCAGGTGTTTATTGGTCATGTAATCCTAAAAAGTCAATAAATAAACATCTTGGTGGCATATAGTATTAATACATAAGTTCTTACCGTACGTGATTAGTGATAAAAATTATCAATCTCTCAATTATATTGGCGCCTTATCCGTTTAAGAAAAGTAAAATTTGACAAGCTCCCTGCTAAAAAAATAGAGTATAATAGTAGTAATATACTCGTATTATCTTTTTAGGCTTATCACTTATTGCACCAACTTTTTTGCTAATTAAGTGAGCTTTGAAACATATGAGTTGTTATTGTCAATTGCTTTAAAAGCAAAGCAGCTAAGCCAAGCGATCGATCGATATTCAATTTATATCAACGCACACCCTTCGCTTCCAGATCGATCAAATATCCCGTTGATCAGCTCCAGACAAATCGTAACACCTCACATGCCCCAAATCTACCAATATATACTCTGCCTTTTTGTATATATGCCTTTAAAATTTTTACGCGTTTCTGTAAATGTTGCAAAATATATATATAAAAAAAAATGTAATATCGAAGACATGAAATATTCATCACCGGCATACCAATTCTGATCATAGCAGATGGCACAATAAGGAAAACAATTTGTTGCGCAGATGGATGGTAATAATTTATGATGCATTTGTGCACGGAAGTCTTCGTGCTATACTTTACCTTTGTTATAGTAATTCTTTTCGTCTGCAAAATTTTGGCAACAGAATGATATTTGCGCAGGAAAGAATCCATCATCCCTTCCATTAGAACAACAACAACAACAACAACAACAACAACAACAACAACAAAAAGCTTATAAAAACTTGCCACTTTTTGAAATAGTTCATTAATCCTCGTAATCCAAAAAAAAAAAAAAGGTTTAAAATCAATTAGCCAGGTTGCTGCTTTCTACAACAAGATTCTATTTGCGATATAAAAGCACTGTATAGCTTTTCCAGATACAGAAGAGAAAACGGAAAATATCTAGTCCTTTTTTTTTTTTTCTTTTGTCCTTTTTCTTTTTTTAATCTGTAGTGCTAAAGAGTCAATGTCAAATTACATACTACTGCATAATATTCATTCGGTAAAACCCATTATCGAAAAATTCCTTAATAAATTAAGGAAAGTACTCCTGAATGTAGATGGGGTTGACAATGGACATGTGTTTTTTCAAAAGCTTAAAGTACTAGAGAGAAATGTCAATTTTGTTATCGATGGGTGCAACTTGGTGATGGCTTCCTTCATTCTCCCGATCAATTTGTTGAGGACCACAGTTCCATTTACTGGAATGAACATAGTTTCTTTTTTTTTTTTTTGGATGTAAATTCAGATGATCATAGTTCCTTCTTACATGTTTGATGTATCTCTCTTTTTGTTTGGTAGGTGGATCTTGTAATCTCACTTAAATGTCAAAATTAATTAATCATTGTTGGAAGACCTTAGATATGTTAAGGTTAATAATATGTCATTGGAAGTGAATGATCATATCTACGTCATCCCTTTCCCCCCTCTAAATTCCATTCTTCTTTTTTTCCTCTCGACGCGAAACTATTAACAAAAAAAATATTGGGTTAACTACATCTTGTTTTATAATGTATATCGGATTACAGTTTGTGCGAGTACGTATAACTTTTTATCGTTTCCAATTGCTAATTTAAAATTAGACGAGATAATAGACGGACGATGCCTGGCTATTAGATTTGGACACCCTTTTATTTATGCAATTAAAAAGGTGGAGTGCATGAAAAAGTTGGAAATAGAGGGAATTAAAGTCAACAACATTAAAGTTTAAACCTAGCAAACCTAAAGAATATAATTAAGGAGATGGAGTTTGATCTTGACGAAGAAGATCATAATTGTGTGGGAACATCTATCGTTTATCAAATTATGTGGAATAATCAGAGGGAATTCTAGCTATTTATCCTCTTTTTTTTTTTTTTTAACGTATGCTTCAATATATAGGGAGCCATCCCCACAGGAGGGGAAAAAACAAAAAGAGAATCAAGCTCATGGTAAAAATCGTGATAATTGATTGGCTAGCATAGTTAATTTCAACCAAGAAAAATGGGGCGAAAAAAATACATAAAATGGAGTTTATATGTATAATAAGCTATCATAATGTCAGAATAATTGCAAAGTTTGCGAGAAATTGAAGAAAAGAAAGAGGGGGGCGCCGGGATATGGTAATAATACTGGGTAGATCCATTTGTATGATTGTAACATGGGAATATCATTAGTACCATATATGGAATAAATCATTTGTTTCCCATTATTACCCGGATCTCTATTTATTTTATTTTTCTTTACCCATAACTCTATTTTTGTATTTATTTTATGTCTGTAGTATTTTACTTTCTTGCTACAATGCTTGATTATACAGCCATTACACACGTACGGTTGCACCGTATAATAAGATAATATTAGCCTAACAAATTAATCATTCCATTTTATTTTTTTTATTGCTGGTACATTAAAATAAGGAAGGATACAATTATGAAGGGTTTTTTTTTATCCTAATTCGTGAATCCTTTACTTGTGCTCTAAACATCAAAGCTAGCCCCTCATAATAATATCATAATATACCTACGCACGTACGGATACTTATAAAATTACTGGTGTCCAATACGACAGGCGAATAATGAATGAAGTAGTATCATGACAAGGCAAGATGCCAATGAAAATATGGGGTTTTTCCCCCTAAAAGATGGGTATTATTACTACTCATAATTAACAGTCCCGATTACGCTAAACCAGTTGTAAATTTATTAAATCAGAGCTTACAAGGAACCAGATAATTTGTGACAGCTATCCATGGTTGCTAGAGCTTTTACACAAAGGCAAAAACCTCAAACAAAAAAAAAAAAAAAACAAAAAAAGGAGTTAGGATTAATTTAATCTTTTTTTAGAAACATAAATTTGAAGGCAAATCATATATAAACCATTCCCCAACGACCTGTAAATTCCCTGTCCTCAAGTACAAAAATCTCCTCCAAAAACAAAAAGAACTCTCTCTTCCACTCCAAGATGAGAGTCGCGTCTGTGATTTTTTTTTTTTTTTGACGGAAGAATGTATAAAATGCACTTTCGATATTTAAGAACAAAGATCCAAAAGGGAGGGCAACTAAGCATGGACCATTTGCCTCTATATAATAACATCACTTCGTCGTTGAAACCTAACATATGTTTTTTTCACAGTCTTTTGGCAATAAATTCATCTGAATCTAACAAGGGAAAATGTAAAGTATCTTTGTATATGGAATACAACGTTAAAAGAAACCAAATTGTTATTAAAATGCTAGTTGGCAATTATTAAAGTAGAGAAAAACACAAAATTCCATCATCGTATCATGAGCCAGTTTTTTATTTGGTATAGTAATGTACTGTCCCGCTCAGAAAGATATCTTTCTTTTTTTCAATAACATTAAAAAAATAAAAAAAAATTCAAGCAGTCAATTCCAATGCCACTCAGAAACGTTTCTGTCACACTATTAACTACTAATTTCTAATAAAGTACTTTCTCGTCCCAAAATTATTGTTCACTTTAAATTTTTATTTTTAGTATAAATTATACTAAAAGTGAGAATCAAACTGAATAATAACTATAGGATAGGGGGAGTACTTTTTAGATTTTTGGAGAAGAAAAAATGGTGGCGAAAAAAAAAAAATCAAAAAAGGCAAAACGGGGGTGGAAGGCGGAGGGCGGTGGCTAAAGGTGGCGGTGGAGAAATGAGCTGAGCTGCAGCGTCGCCCATAGAGGTAGACGGGCGGCCATTGTTTGACCTTTGTCTAACGTTAAACTTTTTCTTCAGTAGAATAAAAGGTCAACGAACCGGGTCCACACGGCATGCTCGCGTGCGGGTGTGATGGGTCCCATTGGTGTTCTAGGACCTCAGAGTCAGAGCCCGAAAGTGACCGTCTCTTAAGTACTAACGAGAAACATTCTCCGATTCCAATGATTTCATCATTTCCCGTTGAATTTAATCTTGTTTGTGTTTCCATTCTTGCGATTAGATACCCGACACACGTTTTCATCTCCTTCCCATTATTTTATTTTTGGTTTCTCTGGAGTATTTTATTTCCTCCATCTCGAACAAATATCTTCTTTTTTTTTTACACAACATTTTATTTATAGTAATAATTATCCGATATGATAATAATTAGTTTAAGAAGGAAAAACATATCAACAATTTTTATAAGTAACTTTTAATTGTCTTTTGTAGTGTTGGTGTCGAACTAATCTCGTGAGTATGGCTAATTCGATAGCTCGATCAAAATTAATTTTTTGTAATCTCCCATCTATTCTAAAGAAAAATAAAATGAATAATATGTAAAATCATAATCTCTAGATCATGTCATACTTTATTTGGCATGGAGATAAGAATGACATAGGATGTGTTCTTTCTTCCAAAGTTGTTTGCTAACAATCCAAC